TATGCTAAGGATGTCTCAACAACCTTCCAGATGAAGCTGGGGCTGTGAGGAAAGCCCAGGTCCTGGGTGCCTGCCAGTGGTCAGAGAGAAGCCCTACTCTAGCATGAATTTCATGTGTTGGGCCTCTACACTTTCATTTAATTATACTAGAGGCCCAACACATAAAATCATGTAAAGTAGGTTCCCTAGGCCTAGTCTGTGATCAGAGCCATCTTCCACCCTCTCCCCAGTCCCCAGTCCTGACCCACAGCCACCCACCCAGGTTCCCTGTGGTTCTCTGTTCACTATACAGTGATTGGAGCCTGTGGGCCGGGGGAGAGATCCAGAAGTCTGCCTTCCACCCACTTTCCAGTCCCCAGTCCTGCCCCACCACCACCCACCCTGGTTTCCAGTGGTTCTCTATTCACCATCCAGCTATCAGAGCCTACAGTCTGGAGGAGTGACAGAGAGGTGGTCAATGCACCTCCTCCTGACTAGTTGATTGGTCATTCTGGTCGTTATGCTGTTATGGTTGCTGCGCTTTTATTATATAGAATTATACTAGGGGCCCAGTGCGTGAATTCGTGCACCTTGAAAAGAACTGTGGGCCACAAGGCTGTTTCGGCCCATCTTCTATGCCTTGGCCTGGCCCCTCTGGCCATGGCCCCCAGTCCTCTGTCTGCTTGCAGCCCTGCTTCTGTCACCACCTCTCCCACATGCTGACAGCACAGAATAATTGGGATCAGTGCCAGCAACAGGTGTGAGCAGCAGCTGCTGTCCCAATTGCCCCTCAGAAGCAGGGGGAGGTGGACAAGGCCTCAGGGACAATTTGGGCCAGCAGCTGCCATTTATACCTACTGACAGCACCTAGCAATTGGGACTAGCAGCTGTGAGCAGCGGTCCCAGTGCCAAGAGCCAAGAGCAGGTGCAGCAGGAGTGAGCACCAGGCAGGACCATAGTGCGCAGAAGTAAAGAATTTTCAATAACCACCAGAGGCTCGCCCCAATGATAGTGACTGGTGCCCTGCCTTGGTCTGGCACCCATGTTCACCTGCTCCACCATCCTGCTGTGGCCGACAACTACCATATTCCGTGTGTGCCCCCTGATGGTCAGTGCACATCATAACAATTGGCTGTTTGGTTGTTCTGCCATTAGGTCTATTTGCACATATAGGATTATATATGTTTTCCTATGATTTAAAGAATAAAAATAATAATTTTGTTTTCCCCCATTTCCCCCAAAATAAACATGTGTTAAAAGAGAAAATTTTAATGTAACATTTTTAAAATTTTACATTTGAGTATTGTGCAACATCTAGATATTTGATTATTTTAATTTTATATATATATATAAATATTCTATGCACCTTATTTTTTTTTCCCCCTCTGGAGACACTTCTATTATAAAATAAAGGAAAACTAAATATGTCAGTTTTAACCCAATCATTAAGAAGAGATATAGCATATAGATATTTTTTAATTAAATTATTTCTGCAATAATATTCTGCTTGTTTAATAGCTTCTACAATTGATAATCAGAATCATAGATCCACTTTTGCTTCACATATAACTAAAACACAAGCAATTATTTATCCTTCCCTTTTAAACACAGATCTTTATAAATAATAAAATAAACTTTAGTACTTCAACCTATTATATGTTATAACATTTGATACCTTGGAAAAATGAAACACAGCTTTTCTGGATCCTCTAAACTTTTTACATCTGGCTGGTTTAAGGCATAAGTCAAAAATCATCAATATTTATTTAGATCATAATAAATAGACCCTCTGCCATGGAAAATTGAAAATACAATTCTCACCCTAACTGGTTTGGCTCAGTGACAAAGGGTCTCAGGTTCGATTCGAGTCAAGAGCATGTACCTCAGTTGCAGTCTCCTCCCTGGCCCAGGCCCTGGTCAGGGATCATGCAAAAAGCAACCAATGCATGCTTTTTTCTCACATCGATATGAACTTGTTATTTATCAGTTTATTGGTAGTAAACTAAGTGGATTGTTTGGGGACTGTACTGATAGCCAAAGTTACTGTGTGTGTGTGTGTGTGTGTGTGTGTGTGTGTGTATTATGCAAATTGTCCCCTAGGGAGTTTGAACAGGAGATTGGAAGTTCAATCACTCGCTATGATGTGTGCTGACCACCAGGGGACGGTGTGGAATAAAGGAAGGCCCAATCAGCAGCCCACAGCAGGGGAAGAGTGGCCCCAGTTGGCAGCTGGAAGGCCCTGATTGGCCCTGATCGCCAGCCAAGCCTAGGGACCCTACCCATGCAGAATTTCATGCACCAGGCCTCTAGTACTAATACATAAAATAACATGTACTAAATCTTGTGCTCAATTAAAGAAAGGCATTTTGCAGTACATATAATAAGCATGTTAATAATCAGAAATCTTAACATTTCAAAAAAACATCTTCTAAAATAAAAAATGATCTTAAATTGGTGCAAGAAATTTATATTAGATAAGGAAAACTTAAGAAAAATAAGTTTAAATGTGTCAACAAAGAAATTTGGAGGAAAAAAGGAGTTTCATTTCTCTTATACTAGGGACAAGCTCTTCAGAGAAAGCTTATTCTGTTTTTAGAAATCTCCTTTCATGTATTTCTTGGATATATAAAGAATTTTGTTTAAAAGTAATCTGTTTCCATTAGAGAGAAACAAATGAGGTAGATAAGAAAATTACTCTTCCCTTTGGATATAAATTTAAAAGTGATATTGTTTTTCAGGTAGAAGGGAGAGAGACTATGCCTATTTGCCCGGAAAAAAAAAAAAAAAAAAAAAAAAAAATAAATATATATATATATATATATATATATATATATATATATATATATATATATATATATATATTTGGCCGAAACCAGTTTGGCTCAGTGGTAGAACATTGGTCTGTGGATTTTGAAAGGTCCCAGGTTCGATTCCAGTCAGGGGCATGTATGTTGGTTACGGGCACATCCCTGGTGGGGAGTGTGCAAGAGGCAGCTGGTCGATGTTTCTCTCTCATCGACGTTTCTAGCTCTCTATCTCTCTCCCTTCCTCTCTGTAAAATCAATAAAACAGTGGAAAATAAACTCACTAATATATATATATATATATATATATATATATATATATATAGGAGCTAATCTATTAAATTAGTCCTATAAAAATATGGTGCGTCCAAACTCAAAGCATCTTCCTCCAAAGGCAGAGTGATAGAAAGTAAGCACAGATGATCTTCTTTAGAAACTCAGATTTAGGACAAAGCATAATAGTATAACTATAGGACCTAGGGTTAATATTCACATAAGCCAGATTTACAAGCAGCTGTTTTGGACATTCAAATACAATAAGAAGTGTATCAAGCAAGGATTATTCTTATGGCCATTTAATGTTTCTCTTGGGAAATCTGAAATTGGCAGGAAATACCAATCACAGCCTCCGTAGTACTTGACTAGGCACTGAAGCCAAAACAAAAATGTAGATTAGGAAAGCCTCTCTTCATTACAATGGCTTAATTAGAAAGCCAGAGTGACTTTCTTCTACCCACATTTCTCTCTTCCTACTCAGCAGGCTGCTGGATCATTAAATATTGTTTAAAATTTTTAAACAATATGCAAGAAAGAAAAATTCTCTATGGTCCTCTATATTGACTATAAAGATGGAAGGAAAACAAGATCATCACTTATTTTAAATTGCTAAATATAAATCTGTGAAAGTATTATGTATTAAGAAAACCATAGCACAAAGAGATGTCTTGCTTTTGAATGAAAGGGAAAACGAAACAATATTTAAATTATAACTCTAGGAAATTTTTTAAATATATTTTTATTAAATTATTATTTTTGTACATATACTAATGCCTCCCCCCCCCGCCGTACATACCCTCCCTCCCCAGAGTTTTGTGTCTATTGGTTGTACTTATATGCATGTATACAAGTCCTTCGGTTGATCTTTTATCTCCCCCAGATCTCCCCAACCTCCCCGCTGTAATTTGACAGTCTGCTTGTTCTCTAGACCCCAGTGGGGGCCATGGCAACTTCTTGTCAGGGAAATACCTACCGTGTTTCCCCAAAAATAATACATCCTCCGAAAATAAGACCTATAAACAGGTTTCCTTCTGAGTAAAATATAAGGCATCCCCCGAAATTAAACCCCCCCCCAAGGCTAAACATGAGAGATTTGGTCCACTGATTTTGAAAGAAATGGAGTCACAAGAAATTCACCAGGAAATTTAGGAATTGAATTGTTATGATGATGTTCCAGAAGATGATGACATGATTGTCATTGAATAAATGAGTAAATTCTTAATACTGTAGGATTCACAGTTTGTCTGGTTTGTGTTGACAACTACTGTACTACCGTACTGTATACAGGTAATAAATTTATTTTCATTTAACAATAAATGTGTAGTGTATTCTTCTTCATGGAAAAATAAGACATCCCCTGAAAATAAGACCTAGCGCATCTTTGGGAGCAAAAATTAATATAAGACACTGTCTTATTTTCTGGGAAACAGGGTAGGAGTCACAGCTCACAGAATAGTTAAGTGATCAAATCTAACTCCCTCAATTTGTAGATGAGAAAACAGTCCCAGAGAGGGGAAGTAATTTGCCCAGCATTGCATGGCAAGCCAGTGGCAGAGCCAAGACTGGAACCCACACTTGCAGGCTCTCAGTTTGGGGCTCGTTCCCGTCTCCTGCAATCTGGGATAGCATCTGGGGGACTGGGCTGGAGAAGGACAGCTGGAGGCAGAAGGCCATCAAGAGGCTATAGTGCCACCTAGATCAGAAGTCACGAGGCTGGCCAGTAAGAAATGTTTATTAAGCCCTTCACCATGATCCCTGTATTGAGTGGCTCTGAGTCCACGGATGAAGCTCCTACAAGGACAGGAAAAAAACTATAAGGAAAAGAAACACGGTGGGCTTCTTGGAGGAGATAGGAGGTGGATATGGTATTCATGAGAAGGAAGGGGCACCGGGAGCAGACTTGGATAAGGATGTAGGAAGGTCTCCAGAAGAAATGGCTTGTCATTTGGGTTCCCCCTGGTTCTTGGCCAAGGTCTCCACCTCCTTCATGAACCGAAGACAGAGTTCCTCTTCCCATGGCAAAGCGATGCACTGCACAGCCACTGGCAGCCCCACGGAGCCTTCCACGGCCTGCGCAGAGAGAGTGTCTGTAAACCAGAGCCTGCTTCCTGCTCACAAGCCCCTTGCCCACCCTTCCTCACCTCCCGTAGGTATGCATTAGTCCAAATATCTCATCTCTAGTCCATATTAAGATAGAGACTTCCTGGACCTCAGAGTTTCAGGCTTCCTCTGCTCTCGGTAAAACCTGGGAAAATTGTTCTTTGTCTACAACTCTCCAGGGTAAAACTTTGTTTCTTGTGCAAAGAGCTGACTATAACAATGAAATATAGAACCAGGTATCCAGCCAATGTTCTTAGCACAGCAAAGAAGAATGTGCAAGTCCCTGATCCAGAACCTGGTTACACTTCTGCAGTGAAACAGGCCTTGGCTCCAAACACAGGCCCAGGAATGTGGGGGCTGAGCCTGAGTGCCTGCCATGACATCCAAACATAACTTTAGGAATTTAAACATGTTCTCATTGCTTTGTGACAGCAATTTCCCATCACACTAGTATGCAACAAGAATTTTTAAAGCATGCAATACCTGACTATTTAGTCAGGGGCACTAACCCCTTTTCTCTTAGATTGTCAAATAGAAAAATGACAAGAGCCAACACAACAATAGCCATCTGGTGTGATGACCGTCTTTTTTTTTTTTTTTTTTTTTTTTTTTAATCTTCACCTGAGTATATATTATTGATTTGAGAGAGAGAGAGAGAGAGAGGTAAGAGAGAAACACCAATCAGTTGTCTCCGTTACTTCCAGGTATGTGCTCTGACCAGAAATCAAACTGGCCACCTTTTGATGCTAAGGACAATGCTCAACCAACTGAGCCATTACAGCTGCACTATATATATATATATATATATATATATATATATATATATATATATATATATATATATATAAAACTATATATATATATATATATATATATATATATATATATATATAACTTTTAAACAGCTCCTGGGACAGAGTCAGAGCTCAAGACACATTAGGTAGTGTAATTATTATTATTTTCTCAGCAATTCCACTGAGTAACTCTACCACCAGGTAGGTCAATTGATTAGATATAATCAATATATAACAAGGTTATGAGTTCAATCCCAGGTCAGGGCACCTTCAGGAATCAACCAATGAATGTATGAATGGAAGAACATATCAACGTTTCTCTCTTTCTCCCCTTCTTCTCTCTTTCTAAAATCAGTAAGTAAAAAATAAAATCAATAATTTCCAGAAAAATAAGTTACTTAATGTCTTATTCAGACACATGCGTACTTTTCAAAGTCAGACTCTCTCTTCCTCTCTCTCTTTCTCTCTCTCACCCAATTCAGGATTGTTATTTTAGACCCTGCATTAAATAGGCCCATAGAAACATTTCCTTTTGGTAAGTCACCTCTGAATTAATAATAGTAGCATTTATTGAACACTTCCTAAATACAAGACCTTATACTAATTGCCTCAGTCTTTTTTGATTTAATCTTTAACATAACTGCAAAATAGATTTTTTATTCCCCCTTTCCCCCCTGACAAAGAAACTCAGGCCCAGAGAGGGGCAGTGTCCAGTTGTTTCACAGTAAGCTCCTATCCAGGGGCCTTCGCGCTGATCTGCCCTCCCTGCCTCTGGATTGGGCTTTCCTTGCAGAGGTGTCGAGTAGACCACTGTTTTCATAAAGTATTCTCCCCCGACAAGGACAGAGGATGACTTGGAGCTTAAATGGTGTGTACTCAGGGATAGAGTGACACTTTATTACTTTAGCAGAAGTGATAAAGGCTAAACCCTGGGAATGCCCAGACCCATACCACTCTGTCCCTCACCCATCCACAGGGATTGAGGCAAAAATCAGTACCAGTCTGTGCTCCTGGGGGAGAGGGACACTGACCTCCTTGAAGTTTCTGTCATTACTATCTCCGTAGTATCCCTTGTAGAAGGCCAGTTCCTCCTCATCCTGTAGAGTTACTGTGGTGACGGGCACTACGCCAACAGGGAAGTCCAACAAATTATACAGGCTGGTGTAAGAGCTGCTGCCTGTAGGAGGATCCAGGTTAGCCCAGGAAAACACCAACTCCCAAAGACTCAGGTGGGGAAGAATGTGATGTGAGTAAGCACTCCCTCGGGTCCTTCCCAGAACTGCATTTCTGTGGGCTTGAAATAGCCCCAAGCATCACCTGACAAGCACTCCCTGCTCTTCCCACAAGGTGGGGGGAAGGAGAATCCCCATTGTCCAAGCCTTACTCAGTGCCAGGCCCTGAGCTGGCCTCTCTCCATTGTTGATTCTCTGAATCCTCTAACCCTTGCAAAATGGGGGTCACTAGACCCTATGTACAAATGAAGAAACCCAGGTGCTATTATAGATAGGTAAGATGGCTTTTCACAGGCTGCACAGTTGGTGAGTGGCAGAGACTCAGCTCATGCCCTCCAATACAGTAGGCTTCAGGATGGCTGGTGTGTGCAGTGCAAACTTGGGTTGAAAAGACTTCTCCATGGCAACAGCCACCTGTGTGCAAGGACTGAGCATCACAGAAGTGGTAGTGTTGCCTACAGAGGAGAGCAGAGAGCAGAGCACGGTGTGGGTGTGCCTTTGGACAGCCACTGTGGGGGACCCAGGAAAAAGGGTTTCAGGCTTGAGAAGGGTTTTCATTCTGTATTGACATCACCTCTGACACTTGCACCTGTTCTGGGCATGAGACCCAGTAATGCCTCAGATTCTGCCCTATGCTGAGGCCTGCATTTCAGGTGGGTTGGACTGCAGATACCTTTAGAAATGGGGCAGCACAAAGCATGCTAAGAGTGAATGCACATGCTCAGTGAAAGAAGCCAGACACAAAAGCCTCATATTTTATGATTCTGTTAATATGAAATCCTAGGAAAGGCACATCTATAGTTAGAGAAAACAGGTAAGTGGTTTTTGGGGGTGAGATTAGGAAAAAATTGCAAAGGAACATGAGAGAAATTTGGTCCGTGATGGAAATATTCTATATATTTATTATAGTATACTTTTGTTAAAATTCATTAAATTGCACTCTGCGAATTTATTGCATATAGGTTATACAAATGGTCCCCAATTTATGATGGTTTGATTACATTTTTTTATTTTTACTTATACATATTCAGTAGAAACCAGCTAAACTAAGCTGATGTTCACTAGGTTAATGCATTTTTGACTTAGATATTTTCAATTTACAATGGATTATTGATACATAACCCCATCTTAAGTTGAGGAGCATCTGAGCTTTTTTTTTCATTTTTAAAAAGCAAATGGAAATTCACTTTAAAAAGTTCATTTTTAAAGCAAATGGAAATTGAGAGTGTCTGCTAACAGGTACGGTATTTCTTTATAAGGTGATGGAAATGTTCTGGAATAAGATAGCGGTGGTGGTTGCATGATATTCTGATTATACTAAAACTATTAAATCACACACTTTAAAATGATGAATTTATGCTACTGAATTTTGTCTCGATTTAAGAGAAAAAAAATGTTTTTAGGTGAATAAAATCAAGGTAACGTAGGCAATGGTAGCACTCAGAAGTACTTGACCCCCTAACCCACCAGTACCCAGTGTCCTCTCACTTAATACTTTGGCAGGATAGCCTATATAGAAGGCAGGGTCCAGATCTGGCACCAGCAGCACATCAAGCTCCAAGGACCTCCACTTCTCTATGAACTCTTGCTGATATTCCTGCAGCAACAACAAGGGCAGGAAGGATAAGACCAGCAGAGGTCACTGTTTGCAGGATAAGGTCAGGTGCTGCCAGGCTGAGTTGGGTTAAGCACCAGGAAGAATTCCCAAGCTATGAGATGCAGACTGAGATATCTGGGAATGGTCAGGGACTTACCAGGGGCTAAGGTAAAGGGATAGGAAGGGGAGTCTCAGATTTGGGGGCAACAAATAATCCAGGCCCCAGAGGGATGGACTAGGTTAACCTCATAGGTCACTAAGCCTTCCCAACCAGGTCCAACCAGGCCTCCCCTGCAGGCCAGGACAGAGCTCTGCCCTCCGTATGGCCACTCCTGTCACCACCAGGCTTCTGCTGCCCCTGATCCAGCAGTCCCTCAAGGTCTTGCCAGGCACACATCACCTGCACTGCTGTGTGCTGCTCCCACAGTCTCTTGGGTGTCCTGGAGGAATGAGGAAGACACTGGGAAGTCCAAAGGTCAGATTGGGAGGATCTTCTCTCATACAAATGGGGCATGATGCCCACGTGGCAGGGCCTAGCCTCAGTGCAGGATGCACATCAGATGATGGGCTGGGAATAACTCTGTGTCTTGTCCCCTCATCAAGACACCTTGCCTGGCCAAAACCAGTTTGGCTCAGTGGTAGAGCATCGGTCTGTGGACTGAAAAGGTCCCAGGTTTGATTCCGGTCAAGGGCATGTACGTTGGTTGCGAGCACATCCCTGGTGGGAGTGTGCAAGAAGCAACTGGTCGATGTTTCTCTTATCAACGTTTCTAGCTCCCTCTCTCCCTTCCTCCTCTCTGTAAAATATCAATAAAATATACTTTTAAAAAATTCTTAAAAAAAAAAAAAAAAGACACCTTGCCTGTCCAATGTTCCCAAGAATACACATCCTCTGGTCAATACCCCACTACCACCAGCCAGCCACAAGGACTCACAAGTGTGCCCCAAAACTATTGTTTCTTTCTTCACCTGTGAGGTTCCAGGTCAGCCCTTAGGTTACTTCACCCCAATTACAACTAGCAACTCAACTCTAAGACCCACCAGACCAAGCCCAACAGCAAACCCAAGTCTAAATCAGAATTCTCTTCAACCCACATCCTCACCCCAGTCCCAACCTTAACCACAATTCCAACTCAAACCAACTTCAACCCCAGCCCAAATCTAACCTCAATTCAGAGCCAACCTTTTATCACAACCTAACCCAATTCTAGCCTAAACTCAGAAGTTACCTCCAAATCAAACTCCAATCCCAAACCCACTCAAAGGTCTAAATTTAACCCAGTGTCGGGCATGACTCTAAAACCCTAATTAGATCCCAAAGTCTAAATTGTCTTTGCCCTAGTGAACACCAACTCTAACCACATGCCCCTCACTCAGTTATCACCATTTCATGCAAAATCCTGTTGAGCTGAACCTGAGGAGACTCAACTACTCACTTCACTCCACGAAGCATTTCCAAAGTCTGGGCACTTCGGGGCTCCTAGAGATAAAGAGAGAGAGGGACACCACATTCAGAAACCACAGGCCAATGCTAACCTGCCCTGGATGAGGGTCCAGGAAAAGCAAATCTGCTCAGTACACTGACATGGAGCCCTCAAGTCTTTCATAAGCCAGTACCAACTCACACAGCCCTGTGCCCCCTTTAGGCCCTTCCTCCTCTCTAAATCCCCTTCCCTTTCTGTGAAACCCCTTCCTTTCTCCAAGATGTCCTCCCCCTATCAGAGCCTCTCTGAAGCTTCCTCCCCTCCCTGAGAACACTTCTCTGTTCTGGCCTCTATTCCCTTCTTTTAGTTCCTCTTCCTCTTGAATCAAGCTCTGAGCCACCAACATTCTCTGGATCTCATGCTCCTCTCTGACTCTACCTGAGTCAACCTCCCCCTCTTCTGAGCTTCTTTCTCTCTGGGTCTCACCCCCTCTGAATCCCTCCCCATCCTAGGTCCACACTTACTATGTACTTCAGGATCCTGGCCAAGATATACTTCACCAGGTCTGGCAGGCGGAGCTTGGTGACTATTGCCTTCATGCAGGGGTCCACAATGTCTCCCTCACTGAGGAACCACAGGCATATAGCTGGTCAGTTACAGCTTTTCAGTCAGGGACTGATTCCTACACCCACCCGACTCCCCCTCCATATATAAGCCACAGAGGGAGGTCAGACCCAAAGAAACACTTCTCTTACTACCACCACTAACCTGGAACATGCACATTCTGAAAGTGAGGCCCAAATAGATGATTTAAGGTCACACAATTAGCCATAGGCATCCCACCAATCCAGGCCCACAGGTCCCCTCCCCCACCCCATTTCCACCTTGGTTCATGTCTGAGTTCCAACAAACGTACAGCTTCTCGAGAAGGGTGGCCCCTCCATCGGCAAACAACCCCCCAATGTAGAGCTGTTCTATGGCATACTCTATCCGGGGAATGGAGAAGGAAATGACCTGTGGAGACAGAGGTTGAGTCAGGGCCTGGAGCTTTTCCTACCCAGCCCTGTTTTCTCTCCACATCCATCAGGATCTAAGGAGAGACAATCACATCACTCCTCATCTCCTTCTACTTCTGCTCCTCAGCAGTGCAAGGTAGGCCTATGGGTGGGTGCCATGCTCACTCCCTCATAGGAATGTGATGGGAATTCGACCAGGCCCTATTTCCTGCCTGTTCCACTGTGATCCAGCCTCATACCAAATGCTTTACATAAGTGAACTCATTTCATCTTCACAGCTGCCCCATGTGGCAGAAAGCTGAGGCTCAGGGTGTTAAGAGAATGGCTAAAATCACACAGTACGTGTGTGGCCAACCAGCAGTTCTCAAAGAGGAGGCAGCCAGGACAAGCCACTGGGGCATGTGAGGCAAGGGAGGAGGGGGAGGAAGATTTTGAAGACAGGAAGATCTTTATGGCCATTTGAAGCTGAAGGAACTTTAAGAGTGAATCCCTGAGTCCCCATCACTGAAGGGAGAAGGCACAGAATTGTGATGCCTTTCTCACTGGGTGAACCTCCCACTCCTCCCATTCCTACATCCTCCCAATCCATCTTCTCCATGGAGTTTAGAGAAAGCACAATAATCTCAGGACTCAAATATAATTTCCTTTCTCTTCAAGAATGGTCCAGTCCAGCTTCTCCCCAAACCCCACCCCCCTTCCCCAGGGCTAAATAAGCCTACCTCATGTCCTGCATCTTGGAGCAGTCTGCAGGTGAGCCTCACAGCCCTGGCCATGCTAGGAGATGGTTGAGAGTAGCCATCTGATTCACAGTAGCCAATTCGAAGGGGCCGGGTACTGAAGTATATCTGGGGGCAAGAGGAGATGAGTAGGGCTCTGATGGGAGATTGGGCTGGGGACAAGGTGATCTCACTCTCTCCAGGAGCCAGACTAATAAACTGGGACCTTGGGTCACAGCTGGCCTTACCCATATGTAGGCTTTCCTATATACTTTTCAGGCTCTAGGTCCTCTGGAGAACCCCCTGGAATAACAAAAAATGGTTGGGGCCCTAGCCAGTTTGGCTTAATAAATAGAGTATTGGCCTGCAGACCGAAGAGTCCCAGGTTCAATTCCAGTCGGAAGCACATACCTCAGTTACAGGCTTCTCCCAGGTCCAGGCCCTGACCTGGGCACGTGCAGAAGGCAACCAATCAATGTGTTTCTCTCACGTCAATATTTCTCTCTGTCTTTTCCTCTCTCATCCACTCTCTCTAAAAATCAATAGAAAAATATCTGCTGATGAAGAAGAAAGGAAAGAAGGAAGGAAGGAAGGAAGGAAGGAAGGAAGGAAGGAAGGAAGGAAGGAAGGAAGGAAGGAAGGAAGGAAAAGAAGGAAGGAAGGAAGGAAGGAAGGAAGGAAGGAAGGAAGGAAGGAAGGAAGGAAGGAAGGAAGGAAGGAAAGAAGGAAGAAAGAAAGAAAGAAAGAAAGAAAGAAAGAAAGAAAGAAAGAAAGAAAGAAAGAAAGAAAGAAAGAAAGAAAGAAAGAAAGGGAAAGAGAGAAATGAATGGGAATGTGAGTGACTGGGTGGATGGAACAGATAGGTAGATCAATTCATGAATGAGTGAGTGGGTGAATGTAAGAGAAGGTAAATGGATGGGTAGGCTGAAATTTGAATAGATAGAGGAGTAGGTAGATGAATAGATAGTTGGAGTTGAATGGGTGGGCAGTTAAGTAGATGAAATAGAGTATTTTAAGCTAAAGACATTTTAGGACAGGATAAGGATGGAGAGATTAACAGAGGCAATGAATGGATGACAGACAATAATAATAGGTTGATCATACCAGGAGGTGTGTAGGGAGTTGAGCATTACTGAGCATGGGGGCAACTTGCTTGCTGCACCTTGGGCTAGAAAATGAGATCTTCAAAGGGGTTGTCAGATAGGTCAATGAGGAATGAGGGGAGGGGAGAGGAAGGAACCTTCCAGGTCTGTTCCCCAACCCAGCTTACCTCCTCCCTGAAGGGTATGAACGGCACAGTGGGGTCCAGCTGGTGCATGTATTCACTCAGCAGGGCTCGTAGGCACAACGCCAGGCTGTCCACATCCCGGGCCATGGGGCCAGCCACAGAGGACACTGCGCAGAAGAGGGGAAGGAGGCATCCTTTCTGCTCTGGGGACCCCCCACTGCCTGGCCGCAGAGGGTGTGGCCCAGGGCCATGATCAGGGCCAAAGGAAGAGTTCATGGGGCCATTCTGAGTCAAAGACTGAGGACAGGTGGGGTCGATAAACCTGCCAAAGCAGCTCTGGTGCCTGGAGGGAGAATCTCATCTGGGACAGAACATCAAGAAACCAACAGGAAATATTAAGTCTAGATGACAGAAAGCACTTCTTAGTGGGGCAGAATCATGGACTAGGGGAGGCCAGGCAGAAGCAATGAAGACCCTTCTCCCAGATGCCTTTATCACCAGTGGGTCTGATCTATCTGAGATCAAGGCTGAGTGAAATGTCCTTTGGAGAAGGCTGGCAGGTTTGTTTTTGAATAGGCACAGAGGGGAGCTTACCTGATTTATTGCCCTTCACAGCAGAGGAAATTCCTGTGTAGCTGCAAATCCCCACCCACAAAGAGCCCAGCTCAGCACCTGAAGGGAAGGGCCTGGGTGCCAAGGAAGCTTGAGCACCCAGCTAATGCACTTCCCCAGGGCTCAGCACACATGTATAAGAGCTGCTTCAACTCTCTCATAACTCCCTATTACCCATAACATAAAGTCTGATCTCTTTGACTACCCTTCAAGGCTCTAAAGTATCAACTTCTATAACTTCCTCTTCTAGCTCTTCCATGTACACATCTTGCTCCAAGAAGTTAATTGCTTACAGATACAAATATTCAATATTTGTTAAATAACTTAGATGGTAGAAGAATGGTGAAATTGATGGATAGAGACTGGGATGGTGACTACATGGGTGGATAAATGGATTAAGGATGGATAAATAGATGGATTGATGAATGAATGAATAAAAGAAAGTGTATGTAGATGGATAAATGTAAGATGTTTCAATTAATGAACTAATGAGTTAATGAATGAGTGGAAGGTCTACTCCACTGCTACTTGTAACAAACATGGTATGTTTAGCTGTGGCTAAGGCAGGAGTTATTTGAAACCCTCCTATACCACTTTCCCCTAGTACTAAGCTGAGTGAATGAACATTAATGTATGAAGCAAGCCCCTCTGTTCCCCAGACTCTTAATTCCTCTAGACTGGGCTGAGCCTACTCTTCCCACCCCCACCCAGCACCATCACTGAGTACCTTAGGCGGTTTTTTGAGGTCCGGAGGCTATAGACACCACAAAAGCCAGCTGGTAGGCGGATGCTGCCCCCTGTGTCAGTACCCATGCCTAGGATGGAACCTCCTTTACTCAGCAGAGCTCCTTCACCCCCTGAGGAGCCTCCAGGGGTCTTCTTTAAGTTAAAAGGGTTCAGGGTCTGTCCATAGATGGGGTTGCTGCAATCATAGCTGAGGAAGAAAAGGGGTTGGGAGGTAAAGGTTTAACTGGGAAATGTTGCCCCTTCCCCACATAGAGGCTGACCACACGGCTGCTTCAACTCATGAGTTCTTTCCAGGGGCTGAGGTGAGAAGCTACTACTGCAGGAAAGACCCATAGCAGACACCAATCATACCTCCTAAAATAAGGAGCAAGGAGCCCACAGCTCTGTGTCAGAAAAATGGACATGCTAACCCTAGCCAGTGTGACTCAGTCGGTTGAGTGTTGTCCCATACATCAAGAGGTTGCACATTTGATTCCTGGTCAAAGCACATACCCAAGTTACACGTTCAATCCTCCATCAGGGTGTGATAGAGTGTGTGCAGAAGGCAACTGATCTATGCTTCTCTCTCACATCAATGTTTCTCTCCTTCCCTCTCTCAAATTAATGTTGTTGTGTGGTTGTTGTTGGTTTTTTTTTTTTTTTTTTTTTTGTGTGTGTGTGTGTGTGTGTGTGTGTGTGTGTGTTTGTTTGTTTGTTTTTTACTGGATACATTAAAGGATGAATGGGAAGGAGAGAATACAAGATGAGAAGAACAATTAGAGACAGAAGCTGGGAGAAAGATAGACTTAATTTTCAGAACCTCCAAGCCCAGGAGTCTTTAGAGACAATTAAGCACACACAATAGAAGGAAACTGAGGTTCAGAGACTTGACCAAGAACCTTCGCTCTTGAGGTCTGCATGACTGATTCCCACTTTACCTTCTGCTCTAAATCAGGACTTTAACGTGCTGTTTCAGTCAGTCCTGGACCTGGCCCCAGCCCCTTCCCAGCCCCAGCCCCAGACCCCAGCCTCCCAGCCCCAATCTCAGCCCCATCCCCAGCCCCAGCCCCATCCCCAGCCTGCCCACTTCAGAGACCTGATCATCGTCTGGGGAATGTTGGTCTTAACGAAAGGAATAGCCCCCTGGGCCTTTAGCACTTTTACAAGGACCCCATCCTTGGCTGCTGGCTTCTCCAGGAACTGTGCCAGGCCACAAGTAGAGTCATGGTCCTGCAGGGAAGTGATATTAACTTCAGTCCTTGGGGGTCAGGGTAGAATCACACAGTGAACAGACTCTCTTCCCCACTAGACCCTCACCCACATCCATTCTCACACCCTCTGAGACAGTGCTGCACCTTAGGTGAATTCACATGTGGCAAAAGAACATGGTGGTTAAGAGTTTGGGTTTGGTTTGAACCTAGCTGCTGGGGCCAGTCCCCATTGGCCACTTTCTAGCTGTGCATCCTGGACTAAATGACTTGACATGTCACACACTCAGATATTCACAGGCTCAGTGGCATGTGTGCACCCCACATACATATATCTGAGCATATACACCCCAGGACTCACCATGCAGTCATAGGGGTCCTTGAGACTCATGGGGACCCCATAGAGAAGGCCTCTCTCACTCTTCTTGAGCTTCTTCAATGCCTGCAGTTGTTCCTCACATTCTTCCAGGAAATCTGTCAGGCAGTTCACCTCCTGGTTCACCTTTAGCGCCTGAGCAACATCAAGGGAAACCAGGTAAGGGCTCACATTGAGGCCAGGGACAGGACATTCAGTCACCACAGCCCCTCCGCCAACCGTGACTCAGAGCAGCATGAAAGTGACAGATGACCGTAGCAGGAACACACTCCCAAACTACCTGCAGCACCAAAGTTACATCTGCCCTCCAAGTCCTCTAAGTAGAACAATGACAGGTGACATTCCCCACTCCAGCCCAGAGGCAGGTTTAAGTCCTGAACCTGACCCCTAACCCCACCTCTTCTAAGTAGCTACAGAGGACACTCTCCAGACTCAGCTCTTCCGCCTGCAACTTCTGAGCCAGCTCCACCAGGGGTAGCTCCAGGATGGGCTTGGGGTCCAGGCCTGGCTCCTGTGGAAATGAGATGGTAAGGACAGATATCAAAGACTGATCTATTCAGACCCACTCCCACACACTCAACATCACACAACATACACTCCATTGTACATATGCACATAGGCTCAGTACATATCTATCCCTGTGCTCACCCTTAGCTTTAAAAACATTTATTGGTCTGTCTCCAGGTTGGCATGAAAGACCTATAGGAAACAGATATTCCATTCTGTCTCTGCTTTCCCAATGCCCAGCCCAGGACTTTGCCAGAGTAGAGCCTGAATCTTAGCGTTGCTATTCAGAAGGGGCACAATTGGAGCGGGAGTGACATTATATGCATATCTTGAGACTCAGGGGTTATGAAAATGAGGTTCAGCTCTGTGTGGTTTGCCTTCAGGTGAGCAATTCAGCATCCCACATTTCCTTCTTATTTAGTCCTCCCATCCCTGATTATCTGACCTTGGGAAAGGACAAGAGTCTAGCATGACTGGCAGGAAAACTGGAACCCAGCCTGACCACACCATGGGTCAACTAGATAAGCCAGGGTGGGACCCCTCCCCGGGACCCCTCCCCTGCCATGATCTAGGTGTCAAAAGAAAGAAAAGGACTAGAAGTCAACCATTAGTCAGTCATGTAGAATGACCACAGATAGGACCCCCAGCTGTTCTGAGCCGGGTCCTTCAGGGAATGATGGAAAGCCTGACACTAGCCACTCAGGACTCCTGTCAGGGGCAAGTATAACATGACAAGGCCCTAGAGCACAGCAGGCACTCAGGAAGGCAAAGTTATTCTCCCTTAGTCCTCAGCCCCAGTTCAGACCCTGAGGGACACAGAGAGAGCACTGTTTGCCCAAGGACACACAGCTAGTAAGTGGCAGAGCCTGGATCCATATGCTTGCTGAGTCATCCCCCCATGGAGGCAGTAGGACCCCAGTGACTACTCACATAGCAATACGTACTACCAATAGGTGTTTTTGCCTCCTTCATATCTCCCACCTCTGACTCTACAGCCTCCTTCCTGCCTAGAACCTTCTGTGTTTCTCAGTTGTCTCAACAGCCTCCTCACTGGACTCCTTATCTCAAGTCTCTTCTCCTCCAGCTCAATCTCTTCACTATAACCTGGATGATCCTTTTTTTTTTTTTAAATATATTTTATTGATTTTTTTTTTTACAGAGAGGAAGAGAGAGGGATAGAGAGTTAGAAACATCAATGAGAGAGAAACATCAATCAGTTGCCTCCTGCACATCCCCTACTGGGGATGTGTTCACAACCAGGGTACATGCCCTTGACTGGAATTGAACCCAGGACCTTTCAGTCCGCAGGCCGATGCTCTATCCACTGAGCCAAACTGGTTTTGGCTGGGCAATCCTTTTAAGATCTTATATAATCTAAATCTGACCATAAGTCCCAACTGCCTTCAGTATAAAGTTGCAACTCTATTCTCATCAGTGTAGTTTATAAGGCTTTCAAAGTAAGTATTTACCATGTATTCATTTTCAGATACACTAATGTGGTAAACTTTAAATATTTTTCCTGCACCAAGTCATTAAATCCTCACAAAAACTCTTGGACAAGCCTTCTTACTATCATTTCCATTTCACCAATGAAGGCAACTGGCTCACAGGGATGTTAACTCTCTGGCACAAGGTAAGGGAGCCTGGACTTATATCTTCACCATTACTCTCTACTGGCTCTGTAGTCTGGAATTAAAACTTCTTCACTGAAAGCGAGCTGAAAGCAATTCCAGTCAAGGGCATGTACCCTGGTTGTCAAGTCCTAAGCCTGTATATTCCTTGACAAAAAGGTGTTCTTTACCTTAAATAATCCTGTCTATTGTCTTTTTTGTATCCAAGATACTTTTGGAATGTTTGAGTAACCCCTTTTTTCCAGACTCCTCAAGGCACAATCTCCCACCAGAGCCCAAGGTCAGGGTATCTTATTCCCTCCTTGTTATCTTGTTCCCCGCATATCACTCTATGTGCTATAAATGTTAATTATTAACTTTCCTCTACCCACCAACGTAAAAGAAGAATGTGTCTCTTCATTTAACTTTTTTATCTAATCCCATAGATTTCCCCACTTTGCTTTCTCCTTAAACTATCACCAATGTATTTTATAAGTCCTATGCCTCCTCTTTTGATTGTAATGTATACAATAAGATGCAAAACTGCCATCCTCTGGAGCATTTTCTCAATCCATTGAGATTTTGCTTCCCAGCAATTGTCAGTTTGGCTCAGTGGATAGAGCATCGGCCCCATAAACTCATAAAAATTCTTACAGGTTTGGACACTTCTTACGTTGGCATTACATAACTTACTAAGTGATCATCCTGATATATCTTGCACCCATCTGACACCATACATAGTTAATAGAATATTATTGACTATATTCCCTATGCTTCACTTTATATCCCCATGACTATCCTATAACTACCAATTTGTACTTATTAATCCCTTCATCCTTTCATCCACCCCCCCAACCCTGCTCCCACCTGGCAGTCATCAAATTGTTCTCTGTACCTATTGAGTCTGTTTGTGTTCTGCTTGTTCTTTTATTTTGTTGTTGTTGTTTTTAGATTCAATTGATAGATATGTATTTATTGCCATTTTATTGATTTTTTTTTAATTTCTCCTCCTCCTCCTCCTCCTCCTCCTCCTCCTTCTCCTCCTCCTCCTCCTCCTTTTTCTCCTCCTGCCATGATGCTTCTGCCCTCTGCCTGCTTCTTTGGCTCAGGGCTGACCCTGCCTACCAGGATGGCCACAGGAACACGGAGCCACACAATGCCACCCACCAGGGCCCCAATGCCTACACTGAGTTGCTATCCCTTTGCTATGGGAATAAGAATAAGAAGGGGGAGCCCAGACAGTGTGGTTCAGTGGTTAAGCATTGACCTATGAACTAGAGGTCATGATTCAGGGCATATACCTGGGTAGCAAGCTTAATTCCCCAGTGTGGGGTGTTGAAGGAGGCAGCCAATCAATGATTCTTTCTCATTATTGATGTTTCTGTCTCTCACTCCCTCTCCCTTCCTCCCTGAGGTCAATATATATATATATATATATATATATATATATATATATATATATATATGCTTTTAAATAAAAGAATAAGAATGGGGAGATCCCTAGGCAAATTCTGGGCTGGGGATTCTACTGAAGAGGAAGAAGAGGAGATGCTTAGGGAGCACAGGTGGAGACAGAAGCTGGGAGAGCTAGAAGATGAGTGTCAGGAGGTCACTGGGCAGCTCCAAACAATGTTTCCCATGAGGCACAGGAACTCTAGTCCTTCTCAGCCTGGTCAGATCACCTGGCCTGGGAACATGGGCAGAAGTTCCAGCAACAGCTGGAGGCAAAGGGACCTGGGCATTTCCACAGGCTAAGGGTAGGAGGAAGACCAGTGGCTTCTTAGAGAGTGAGCCAAGAGACAAGGAGGAGGAACTGCATAAGAGCCAGACCAGCAGGCCTAGGAGCAGGTGCAGAAGGCTCACAAGGACCCAGACCCCAGGGCCCAGAACTCCAGATAAGCAAGGAGGGGCAGCCTCTGGCATTTTGGCAACCTGTCCTGGCCCTGCCCTGGGGGAGAGGCCTGGGAGGCCATGGCTGCAGCCCTGATGGCCAGCCCCCACCCCAACCTGGGGAGGAACAGGGGGCTCTGAGGAGGTACTTGAAACACTCTGGCTGCTTCCTACAGTGTTTCCAGATCCAGATTGAGATCTGGAAGCTGGGTTGTGTGCTGGGAGAGGTGACAATCCTTTTTCAAGTCCTGAATCACCATACGGAGGCCCTCAAGTGACCTCAGGTAAACGAGGAGGAGTTGTTGGGAACGCAGCCTTAAAGACAGGGCGGCAGAAAGGGCCCAATCAGGGATGGGAATGACAAGGACCAGGACCAGGCCGATGCTGCATAGCAGAGGATGTGGGTGGGAGTGAAACTTGTAAGGAACCGGAGTGGGGAGGACAAGTTACCACTGCTGCTCCTTGACCCTGCCCTTTCCTAATAAGGCCTGGTTCCACACCTCATTCCTGGTATCTCCTCCTTTTTTCCATTGCTGTGGTTTGCATATCCATGACATCTCCTGTCCCATCTCACCTGCCAAAATCCACAGCTTTTACACACCTGTGACCAGCACACACACTAACATGAGCCCTTAGCTGGAGACAGGAAGCCCTCTGCTGGCCCACCTGCAAGGTTGCTCCTCAGAGAGCCCAGTTTGCCCCCCAGTCTATTCCACTACTCCACTCTACACTGAGAGATGAATGTGAACAGAGTAAAAATAATAATAATAATAATAATAAGGAACGAAACCAGTTTCCCTCTCCTTCCCCAGCACAGACAGGACTTCCCCTTTGGTGAGTCACTAGATAGTCTGGGTTAGGGCAGCTGGAACTGGGGGCCATACTAGGTGCTGGGAGGTCATGGGATAGAAGCAGAATGGATGGAGAAAGAGCCCTGTGGGAGAGTGAAATTTCAGTTGCTAAAATATAAACAGAGGAAGTAGGCAGAAAGCCAAATTATGTAACCTGAGTTCTCAATTCTTGGGCAACCAGTGATCCATAGCCAACACCATCTCTCCCCTCTAGCCTCGAAGTCCGATCTCTCTTCCAGGTCCCGAGGAAAGAGCAAAGAGGTAAAATGGACTCAGTATAGTCCAACTGCTAAATACTAAAGTCAAATAAGCTGAGGAAGTGATTCTCTTCTCATTTTAATTAGCCTGGGAATTTAAACTTCTGAATTTTCCAGTCCTGCATCAGTGCCTGGACATACATCAGATCTCCAGACAACCCCCTGATTATCTCTGCAGGACTCATGTAGACATTAACCTGACATCCATTATCCAGAGCACTGGATGTAACCAGACCTCTTGGTGTGCACCTTCCAGACCACCTGTCATCAGTCATCCAGATCACTTGACAGCTGACTGATAACTATCCTAAACCAATAATAGAACTAAGAATGCAGAACTGATAATTCTCAAGAATGGCCTTACTATATAATAAAAGCATAGTATACAAATTGTCCCCTCCAACAGGAGTTTTTCGGGGAATTTAACCAGGGGGCGGGACTAGCCAGGGGAAGAGAGGGAGACCCCAGCACTAGCGAATGGGCTGAGGAGAGGGAGTATCCAGTTGGCGGCAGTTAAGGACACTACATGCACTGGGCTTCTAGTCCTATCTAATAAAAGGGTAATATGCAAATTAACCATCACTCCATCACAAAGATGGCAGTACCCATAGCAGCCAGAGCACTGGACACTAGCGGTGTTGCCCCAGTGACAAGTCCCAGTGTCCTACATGCCCCAACCTGCGGAGGGAGGAAGGGAGAGTGGGTGGGCGGGCCTCTGGCCAGAGGCCCACTGGGATGCGGGATGCTAGTGTTGTTGTAGGCTGGACTGAGGGACCCTTCTATGCAGGAATTTTGTGCAATGGGACTCTAGTCCTATCTAATAAAAGCCTGATATGCAAATTGACCAACACACAAGATGGCTGCCCCCATGTGGATACAAGATGGCCATGCAAGATGGCCAGCAGAGGAGGGCAGTTGGAGGTGATCAGGCCCCAGGTGAGAAAAATTAGGGGTGACTGGGCTGGCAGAGGAGGGTAGTTGGGGTGACCAGGCCTGCAGGGGAGAGCAGTTGAGGGTGATTAAGCTGGCAGGGGAGGGCAGTTGGGTAGGACCAGGCCAGCAGGGGAGGGCAGTTAGGGGTGATCAGGCTGGCAGGGGAGGGCAGTTAAGGGCAATTGGGCTGGCTGGGGAGTGGTAAGGGGCAGGCAGAAGCGGTTAGGGGCAATCAGGTAGGCATGCAGGTGAGCGGTTGGGAGCCAGCAGTCCTAGATTGTAAAAGGGATGTCCAACTGCTCATTTAGGCCGATCCCAGTGGGCAGTTAGATATCCCTTCAGGGGTCCCAGATTGGAGAGGGTGCAGGCTGGGCCGTGGGACACCCCCGCCCCCCTCCTCCCCTTTGCATGAATTTCATGCACCAGGCCTCTAGTTTTACTATAAGAACTCAGCTTTTCATTCTTCTTCATAAACTCCTCTGGGTTTTTGCCTAGTTATGTCTCCAATTTTCATATCCTTGAGTTAATGATAATTTTCATATCTTCATCATTTATTTCTAAAGAGAAAAAGAAAGAGGAAAAGGAGGAGGAGGAAGGGGATACGGAGGAGGAGAAGAAGGAAGAGGAAGAGAAAGAGGAAGAGGAGAAGGGGGAGGAAAGGTCTCTATTTAATGAGATTGCCAATCACCTAACGACTCTCAGTTACTGGGAGAGCTTTGAAAGAGAGAGACATTTTCAAAAGATAATATCCACATAAAAAGATATGTGAGGACAAGTTGTTTTTGTTGGTTTTTTTAATCAATAAATTATTTGGAAATTGTTAGAATCATTTGATGTAAGAATTGAACCTCAACTTCTATCGCTTTTAAGCTATTTTAATATATAGTTTAGTTTAGAACAAATGATGCCTTCTGCCCAGTTCCATAGCCCATTGGATGTCTGCCTTTTCCACACTTACCTGGAGCTACCTTATCATGGTTTGAAAATCAAAGAAAATATATTTTCAAGTTTTTAGCATATTGATTTATTATTAATCTTTCCAAAGTGGTGGTTAAATATGCTTACTATTGTAAATCCTCAACCCTCAGGGCAACCAATTTCCCCTTGAAGTGATCAGAGCCTCCTGGTAAGCAGCCTTCAGAATGAGCAGCTTGTCTGCTTACCCCAGAGGACCTTACAAACCTTTCCTATCTGTTCTATAGAAACAGTGCATATCTCAGGCTTTTCTCTACTTGGCATCACTTATCCTGTTCTTTCCTCCTTTTGGAAAACTCCTATAAGTCTTTCAAGGCTCAGCTCTTTGAAGCCATCCCCAAATGACCTGCCCCAGAAAGAGTAAATCACCCCTCCTGCCAAGTCCCACAGCTCCATAGGCATGTGGCTTTCACCACTTTTGGCTGAGTTGCTTCCCATCATGTTGCTTCCCTGTTTCCACTACACCCCATCCAGAGTGAGAACATTTTTAAGACAAGTCTGAGTCAGACATCAGATCTCTGTCCCAGAGTTCAGCAGAAAACAAGACCACAGAAGCCATCTGTGAAATGTTGCTAAACAGAACTGAATTGGGTATGTTTGAATCCTACGAGGGTTTGCCTATGTCTCAGCCTCCCACCTCCCTGGGACATAAAGCTGGACATATAAAGCCTTGAGGGTATCCCTGGTGGAGGAGTGACCCAACTTGGAAGGTGCCCAGGACAGACCTGTAATAGCTTTATTCGGGGGAGAACAGGCAATGAGAGTCTGTAGCCTTGAGAGAAGGCTGGAGACTCCATGGGTGACCTCACCAAAACCTTTCCACTCCTCCAGCTAATCAGACACACACAGCCCCACCAGGTACCGAGACCAATAGGTATATATTCCAGATGACCGCATGTATACTATCCAGATGTCCAGACACATACAGAACCAGATGTCCTTTCACATCAGACACATGATCACACATAAGTTTGTGTGTTTAATTTTTAAATCAAGAAATTATTTTGAAATTGTTAGAATCATTTGATGAAAGAATTGGCCTCAACTCAAACATTCAGACCCAAACATATCTAGATATACACTCCAAACCACATACACAACCAGCCAGACACTCATATGCCAGACCACAGATATGGAAACAAACACAATCAGCACACAATAACTCACCAGCGAGAGACACAAACAAGCAGGCCCTGATGTTAGCAGTAAAGGAACCTAAACCCAACACCATCCACAGATGGGGTCACCATACACACACAGGAACCCTCTCCATCATGCTGACTTGCCACAGCAGCCCCATTAGCCTAGATTTCCTCCCTATCAGCTAAGGAGGGGCAGCTGCTCTCTAGGGGCAGATTGATTCATCCAAATGATTAGCCCCAATTAATATTAATACATATTCTCAGGAACCTCAGCAGCTCCAGCAAAGAAGCTGCCCATGGGGGCCATCAATCACTGTCAGGGAACGGCAGAGGACACTCAGGAACTCCAGATCATGGGGACAGTACCTCAGGCACTCTCGCCAATCCCCAACCCCAGGGTCCAAAGGATGACCACTGCCATCAACCAAATGTTGGGAACCCTAAGATACTGCAAGCCCATCCTTCCTTGAACAATCAGGGAGCCCAAGGCCCAGAATGGGCTGTCACATCCTCCAGGCCATACAGCAAACACAAAGCACAGTGTGAACTTGTCTCCATGCCCCTCCTTCCCACCCTTCTGTCAACCACTCTAGCTTGGTTTTGCTGATACACCCAGGGCTCAGTTACTTCACCTGCGAATCCCAATTACAGTGGTTGTCACAGGGCCATGAAATAACCCTATCCAGGCTGTCAAAATCCACTTTTAAGTTGCATAGCATCCTGGGAGGAGCCCATCTCCAGTGACCCTCTGTGCTTTGCATCTATCAGGTACTCAGCAAATACATGCAAAACCTAATGGGGTGGCTGACTGGATGGAGAATATGTAGACCAGGGTTCCTATCTCAGTGGAGTTTGGGGGTGGTCAGGAGCTGAAAGAGGCCGCTTGCCTCCAGTTTCTCCATCAGTTTATTTTATTTCAACAAATAGCCCACGTGCACACCACCATGTTACTGAGCCACTAGGAGAATAGAGAAAATACACTGACCCCGACGTCAAGGGACTCAAATGACATAAATGGGGAGAAACTGGTGATCCAAAGATCTAGCATAGAGCTGGAATGGGGGACTGTTCCCCCAGGCTCCCTGTCTTCTTGAAGGGGATGAGGCCACGAGAAGGGTGTGTCCTGAGATAGGACCCACCTGTTGGGACTGAGGCTGGGGGCTTCAGGAATTGATGTCTACTCACCTGTTCCCGGAGATGCTGTGCCAGGGCTGCCATCTGCTGCAGCGCCACCTCCCTGCGCCTCTGTGCCTTGGGGATCTTGTCCCGTGCTGGAGCACGCTGCCGGGAAAGCAGGGCAGCTGCCAGCAGAGCAGCCCCCAGCAGGGTCAGCAGCAGCAGCCCCAGCAGGGGGTAAGAAGACAGCAATAGCTTCTCCAGCATCTTGGGGCCTGTGTGGATGTATCAACTGCTTCCTCAAGATCACTTGGTACTTATTTGTCAGCTACACCGTTAGCACCCTCCCACTTCTGAGCCCCAAGGGGAAGAGTCAGGCCCTGGGTGTGGGAGATCACAAAATCCTCCCAGCTGGTTCTTACCTCCACCTGCATTCCCTGGGGACAAAGACCCTGTCCCTCAGGCCATTCAGTGCAAGAGGCTTTGGCAGAGACAAGCCTGCAGGTGGACAGATGACCAGGCTCTGATTACACTTCCTTCTTTTCCTCCTCCCTCATCTCATCCATCAGATCCCAGCACCTTAGTATGACTGCTGCCAGTCCTGCCAGGGTTGCCTTTAAGGTTCCCTGTTGCTTTTAGGATATGATGCAAGGAGATGATGCCCCTGTTAACCCAGGTGAGCTTTCGTTTCCTACTCCCAAAGTAAGGTCACACTCTATTCCAGGCTCTTACATGTTCTCCTTGGACCAGGAGCTCCCTAAGGGCATGGAGGGCAGTGGAGAGGAGTCTGGGGTTGGGGGAGGTGAGGAGGAGGAGGTGACTTGCTGGAGGAAGGACAGGAAAGATGGAGAAGCTGTGAAGCAGTAGGGCAGGAGGGACTGAGTGTGGGAACCCTTCTTGTTGGGTGTTTCAATCGGAGGTTTTAGCCTCTGTCTCAGACGAGAAGGGTGACTCCACTCTCAAAACTGGGAAGTCAGAAGCAACAAATGTAGTGGGATGGAAATGGGTAATGTTGCTTCTGAGCCCCTGAGGGTCAGACTGTTGACCTGTTGATTGGCTGGTCATGACCCAAAGGGCAACCCCAAGGTCATCCACCCTCTGACACTTTGACTCTGTCACCTCCAAGGGGCCACTGGAACTAGCTCTCCTGTCGGCATATTCCCCATGTACTTTCTCTTCTTTTCTGACATATTCCCCCCACCTCCACATCCCTCACGGAACCCTGGCACTCCCCTGGTGACTCAGTTCCCCTGGACCTTTTGGTACCTGCATCACCTCCACAGCACTGTAGGCCTTGTTACCTCACCTTTTTTTTGGATTGTACTCTTGGATTACCACACCACCCCACTTTATCTCTTCGTCGTATTTTTAAAATACCTTATACATTTACTTATTTCCTGCTTCCTTCCTTAGAAAATAAGTTGCCACCCACGACCCAAGCCAGCCAGCCTGTGGAGCCCCCTGCACCTGCATCCCAGCAGTGGATTCCTGAAAAAAAAAAAAAAAGGAAAGAAAAGAAAAGAAATCTACCTAGTGGCTGGCCAGAGGTACAGGGAGAGACAGATTTGATCCATGAGGCCCGAAAAGGAGCAAGGCCCACTGGGAACAGGGCGACTGTCCAGGCCTCCACCCCTCACCACCCCTGGAGAAGGGAAGACCCCAGCCCCGAGACCTTCCGCCAGCTCTTCCGGCTCTTCTGCTACCAGGAGGTGGCCGGCCCCCGGGAGGCCCTGAGCCGCCGCTGGGAGCTCTGCTGCCGCTGGCTATGGCCGGAGCTGCGCACCAGGGAGCAAATCCTGGAGCTGCTGGTGCTGGAGCAGTTCCTGACGGTGCTGCCCGGGGAGATCCAGGCCCGGGTGCGGGAGCGGGAGCGGCAGCCGGAGAGCGGTGAGGAGGCCGTGGTCCTCCTGGAAGGGCTTCAGCGGGAGCCCAGGAAACAGAGGGGCCCGGAGGTACTCCCTGGCCATGCAGTGCCCCACCAGATGGGGGAACAGTCTTTGAAATGTCAGGCAGAGGCCCAGCCAAAGGAGTTGTCCCTGGAGGAAGGAGTTCAGGACTCCAGCCAGCAGCCCCAGACCAGCTAAGCCAAAGACAAAAAAGAATCCTTGAACTCTGGCCAAAGAGGGGCCCAGTCACCTCCCAGCACCAGGAGATGGCAGCACCAGCCACATCCTTCCTTGCAGCCTGGACCCAGGTACCAGTGACCTTGGGAGACATGGCCGTGTACCTCTCAGGAGCAGTGGGGGTGCCTAGACCCAGCTCAGCAGGATCGAAGTTGGGACATGCTGCCAGAGAGTGAAGGCTTTGGAATGCAGTTGAAGGATGGAGAGGACACACAGATGAGAACAGAATGGGATGGAGTGCTGATGGCTCGGTACAGGTTCCAGGCCCCCCATTCCCAGGTCACAAGCCGGCCCCTGTCAGGGGATTGACCAAATCTGAGCAACTTCTGGAAAGAGGGGAGGCCTGCAGAGTGGCAAAGCCATACATATGCCCTGAATGCAGCAAAAGCTTTAGCAAGACGTCCCACTTGACCAAGTACCAGCTCACGCACACCGGGGAGTGACCATACCAGTGTCCCATGTGTGGGAAGGGTTTCAGCGACCACTCCAACTTCAGCACCCACCAGCAGGTCCACATGGGCGAGAAGCGCTACCAGTGTGCCAAGTGTGGGAAGCGCTTTAGCCAGAGCTCCAGCCTGGTCATCCACCACCGGATACACACCAGGGAGCAGCCTTATGTGTGTACTGAGTGTGGGAAACGCTTCAGCAACACCTCACACTTCAGCGCCCACCACAGGATGCACACAGGCAAGAAGCCCTATACATGCCCAGGCTGTGGCCAGGGTTTAATTGGGGTACCGACCTCCACAAACACCATAGGACCCACAATGGGGAGAAATAACCTCATAGCTACAATAAGGGGGTATAACCACTACCCGGACCCTCGAGGCTCCAGGATCCCCAGGGGCCAAAGCCTGATTACCATGCACAGTTCATGAAGCTGCTAGAGCCAGAAATGCTGACCTTAAGACATCTTCACACGGACTCTGCTCTCTGGGCCTGGTGTGAGGGAACATTTCAGGGAACATTTCAGGTGAAATGCTGGGCCCAGGGCCAGGTGTCTTCAGTTCTAGGTCTGCACATTGGCCGCGTTACAACAACAGGAATTAATCCATACTCAGGTGGCCACAAGTCCAAAGTGCAGGTGTCTACAGCACTGGTGTCTTCTGGAGGCTCTGGTAGAGAACTCCTGTGCCTCTTCTACTTCTGATGTGGCCCACAGATCCTGTGGCCTTCTCCTTGTGTCTGTCCCCCCTTCTTCTAAGGATATAGTGATTATATTACTGATATCCCTGAATGACCTCATCTTTTTAAAAAAAATATTTCTTATTTATTTTTTACAGAGAGGAGGGGAGAGGGATGGAGAACTGGAAGCATCGATGAGAGAGAGACATCAACCAGCTGCCTCCTGCACACCCCCTACCGGGGATGTGCCCATAATCAAGGTACATGCCCTTGACCAGAATCGAAACTGGGACCTTTCAGCCCATAGATCGACGCTCTATCCACTGAGCCAAATTGGTTGTGGCAAGAATGACTTCATCTTAACTAATTGTATCTACTAGTGCAATGTCCCTCTTTCCAAATAAGTTCACATTCTGAGGTTTTGATTGAACTAGAATTTGAGGGACACTTTTTAACCACTGCAGGGGAAGCTGCAATGGCTGCTTATGGCATTACATACCCCAGCCTTCCGCTCCAACCTTGCTACAGTTTCTAAATGTAAGTGATGGGGGCTTTTCCTACACTCCAGTGGTGTCAACAAAGAAATGGGGTGCCTGACTGGTGTGGCTAAGTGGTTGAGCATTGACCTATGAACTGGGAGGCCTCGATTCAATTCTCAGTCAGGGCACACGCCCAGGTATGGGCTCAATTCCCTGGTAGGGGTGGTGCAAGAGGCAGCCAATCAATGATCCTCATCATTTATGTTTCTCTCTTCCTCTCCCTTTCTGAAATCAATAAAAATAAATTTTTAAAAAGGCAAAATAATAATAATAATAATAATAATAATGTTGCCAAAGAGCAAAGGCCTTGTCAGCCTGTTTCAAAGTGCCTGACACATGGCAGGTGCTCAATAATATTTCTTAAATGGAGGACTGATACATGGCATGAGCCCTCTATCCCCACCTTTAGCTGTGTGTATCTCTGATGGCTTCCTTCCTAGCAGCATTTATCATGCTTAAGTCTCCTCCATCTTTAAAAAAAATTCTCTCAGCCCTGGCCAGGTGGCTCAGTTTGTTGGAATGTCATCCCATATACCAAAAAGGTTGCAGAATCAATTCCCAGTCAGTGCACATACCTAGGCTGCCAGTTCAATCCCCCATTGGGGCATATATGGGAAGCAAATAATCAATGTTTCTCTCTCTCACTCTCCCTTCCTCTCACTAAACATGTTCTCTGATGAGAATTAAAAAACAAATCTGAAGGAATCCATGATGGCTGCTGATAGGACAGCAGGCTGCAAGATAGTGTGTGAGAGAAAAAAAGGAAAGTGTGTGGATGTGTGGGGAGTATCTGCATTTGTGAGTGAGGAACAGCTATATTCCCCAGGACTGTTGGGGACTGACAGACCAGACTCGACTGGCTGGGGAGACTCTACTACTTCTGAAATGTCTCTCAGAGTGGCCAGCTCTGCCCAGAGACCATACCATCTTGAAGGGGAGAATGGCTGTGATGGGAAGCCCAAATTCTCTCATGATGAGAATCGCCTGGTGGAGTTGTTAAACTACAGATTCCTAAATCCCAACTAAGAAGTGCTAAACTAGAATTTTGAGGAACATATAGGTAAAATTGTATACTTAACTTAGTGCTCTGTTTTAGGATGCCTATGACCATTGCTCTGAATTCTTTCTCTGACATATTGCTTGCTTCCATTTTGTTTACTTTCTTTTCCAGTAATTTTCTCTCTTCTTTCATATGAAGAAGAGCACTAAGTTAAATATACAATTTTACCTATATATTCCCCAAAATTCTAATTTAGCACTTCTTAGTTGGGATTCAGGAATCTGTAGTTTAACAACTCCACCAGGCGATTCTCATCATGAGAGAGTTTGGGAAACAAATTCAGTCAGACCTAGCGAAAGCTCTGACTCCTCAGATTCATCCGGGTGTTTGTTGTTTGCACTTTTTGGATTAGTTGTTTTTTTGTTTGTTTGTTTGTTTAGTTTTCTCCCCATATACATATATATTTATTCCTTCTTTTTT